GATCCCAAAACCTAAACTAAAACAATATATTTAATATATTGTTTACAGCACAACGTGCAATTGCAAGAGCCTGGACTCTACTCTACTGCACTGACTTAGACACCCAACAAATTTATGACACTTGCTACAGCAAGGTTTTCCCTTCATCACAAGCTGTTGCGGAGGCTTGGGAGCTTTGGCGCAACAGGAGATCGGAATAACCGAGAGAAACATAAACTATGTTACTAACATCTAATGCAAATTGACCTGAGCATCTCCTGCCTGAGTGAGTGGATTCTTATAACTACATACCTGTTCATACAACAAACGGAACCTCTTAGCTTCTTACCCGGGTGGAGGCCATAGTTGATTGGTTAAATGCTTTTGCACTGTAACTCAAACTATGTGGATGCTTAAATGTTTGTACTTGCATACTGATTGTCTGTCACCAATTATGTGGACTACACTGCTTCCCCCCTCCACCTTTCTTTCCTTTCTGTACCCCCCACCCCCTATCTTATTCGAAAACATTAATAAAAATGATAAATGGAAAATACACTTACCATTAAAATTATAGATTGATCATTTCTTTGTCAGTGGACAAACATTCAGTATCAATAGGGGATCAAATACTTTTTTCCCTCACTGTATAAATCCCTTGGTCTAAAAAGGAAAAGGTGCTGAGATGCTTATTGCATATTTTAGGAACCATAAAAATGTGGCAATCACATGCTGCTGTGTTAATTTTTTTTAACTCAAAGGTTCTTATGAATCATATCCCATGTTCTGGTACTGAGGAAAAAAGTGCAAAGGAAAACACAACACTGAATTAAAAATTATTGAATCATGTCTACTATATTCCTTCAACCCTTATAACAACCTCTAATGTATAACAACCTACTGTGAACTCTATAGATCAGATATCCTCCACAGCCAAATTTATTCTTAATTGTACATCTCATATCTATATTTCCCAACTGTTTCTTGCACATCATGCTAATTATTGCAAAAGAAGCTCATTTCATCTGAAAAGTATAATTAGTCCTGAGCCACTGTGTTTTATTAAAAATATCAGTCTTTTTGCAGAAAATAATAATGTGAAATGAATTATCCTATAATACAATCATTTTGGTCAAAGACAGTGTTCTTCTTATCTATTTTTTTCTATATATATGCAGAATTTTCCAATTCTGACTGTCTTAACCTAATTTTATTGAAATACAGGGTTTTTACCTTGTGTTATTCAGATGGTAAGAAAGTTTTTCATTATTCTTGGAGAAGAGAGATTACAGCATTTAGTAAGACAAATTCCGTCTTCAACATCACACCGCAGTACAGTCATCTAGCTAAACACAGTAATCTGCCTAACTACACTGCAAAACAGAGCTATGAAATGTCATATTTAAAAATGTAAGTTGCATAGAAAACATTCATGATATATTTTAGAAAAGAGAAAATGTACATGTTTTCCAAATCCAATGATAGGAACATTTTATCCAGGAATCTGACAATGTTTAAAAATGACTCCATTATTAAAAAATTAAAAAATTAAATTGAATTAGTATTTTGAAAATGCATTTACAACATATTATTTAGCTCTACTTTAGACAAATATTAGGAGACAGCATGAATTAGTCAGATATCAAAAAGATAAAGGTCTAGTATCTCTTTGGAAATTATGTTAGCAAAATGTATAGGAGAGAAAAAATGTTTTGTTTTTCGACATTTAAAAAAGTACCATCAAGGGGGCCTGACCGCCAAGCGAGCAGGCCGCAGGCTGAGGGAGCTCCTCCGATAATCCTGCAATAAAAGCAGATAAAGCATAAAATACTCACCTTGAGCAGCTAAACTCAACCCCTGATTGACGGGAACAAATGAGACACCCTCTTGGACTGACCGATAAAGCTCTGCTCAGCTTCTTCGGTGCCCAAAGCTTACTGCGGCCTGCTACCATAATGTAGGTGCGAGACGCGGCCGGTCTCCCTCCTATAATCGACCAAACTGTGGTTTGGGCCACGTCCCCCACCCCCTTTAGACCGGCGGGGGTTATCCCGGTCACCGCAGGGGCTGCAGACACTGACTCGATTAGTCAGCTCAGAAACAACCCTGCACTGAGACCTAGCCCTGCAAGACGCATGTGGACCGGATCTACAGAGCAAGCTACTCCTGACCGGCTTCCTCTCTGACACATGGCAACATTGGATGAGATCCTCGAACACTTCTGGGCTAAACTTGAAGCCTGCACCAGATTGCTGCCATCAGCTACCCAATCGGCACAGGTGGCTCAGAGGAATCATGGAGAGGAGTTGGAGAGGCCTCTACAGGGCAAGAAGTCTTACCACACGGCAGTACACTTGAAAGAACTCCCTCTGGGGCAGAGAAAGCACGGGGGCACAGCTCCAGTGCAGGGCTTTCACAGGCGTAAGACCACAAAACACCATAGTCGGTGACACAGACAGAGGGCTTCCCGCCGCTTCCTCCACCAGAAGAAATCATACACCCTACTGCCACAACCCTGGGAACACTCGACCTGGCCCAACACCTGCGGCAAGGGACTGAAAGCAGCAACTACACACCCACTGGCTGCCCCTCAGCATACCAGAAAACCACTGACGCTACACCTCCATACCAAGCCTCCATCTCAAGCCTCCAGGTTGGGCATTGGCTGACTCAAGCGGACAGCCAAGGGGACTTGCATCACCCACCACTGCCTGACTGCATAACCCGAGGTCCAGACCACTAATGGTCATTGTTTTATTTGTTTTAAATTTCTTTTGTTAACGCCAGCTGTCCTTGCACCCATTGACCTCAGTCTCCCTCACTTAAAATGGTGGGCAGCCACCAGTGGATGCTATGTTGCTCGAGGGAGCTCCACAAAACTGTTTGCATTAACCATCCTGTTTATGCGCCCAGCGGTATATTTACGTGTTTTAGGCAATCACTCTGTAAAGCACGACATCTTACATCACCAACATAGTACATTGCTCCTCCATGTATACATCGAGAAATGCCCTGCACTCACTGCTGGTCCTACCCATCGAGAGGTACATCATAACGTACACCATTTAATTTAAAGGATCCCACGCAGACTACACATAAGTAAACAAAGCCTTGCGTAATGTACCATGATAGCTATAGTGTTAGGAATATAAACATGTATTGTTGACACTATACTGTTTAACTATTAAGGTGTCCCGATCTTCATTTCATTGAACTAGAGTGGTCAGCTGATGCTTTAAGCCAATCAGCAGCTCACTGGAGGTTGGTGTACCAACCACCAGGGCCACTAAGTTACCTAATCTGCGCCTGTTTTACAGCCACATTATTTTCATATGACCTATATAAAATGGGTTCACTCGTCATCACTATGTTATGTTTAACTGTTTAACTAGCTACAATACTTTAAATATAAAAATCCGTGCTAATTCCTCAAATGATGCAAAGTTATATATCTAACAGTTCTCAATGCTACTCAACATATATCATTAAATGTACTGCAATCCCTGCGTTTGCTGTTGTGGAGGTGCAGGATCCACTGTGATTTTATGCACGTGCAAAAATAAAGAATAAAAAAAAAAAGTACCAGCATGGGGGGGCGGGGCCGGACTGCCATGCTGCATAGTCACATGGAAGAACAGCTCCCACAATTTTCAGACCTTGTGGTTCACAAATGCTGCAAAACCCCCCATATGACACTGAAAAGCGACAGTTTAATGCACGGTGGGGTGCTGGTTCTGAAGTTCGGCCCGAAACTTGTCTCAGGGTCCCTTGCGTGGAAATAATAACACTCTATGATTGCGGCCTATGCAGGTGGTGAGTGGGGTGGACAGCTGCTGCCCTGCTATCCTGCCTTCAACAAGCTAGACCCTTCGAACTTCGGAGGCACCGGCCCTGTCCCCCCCCCCTTTGGACCGGTGGGGGTCATCCCTTTTCACCCTGTTGCCCTGCTGTCGACCCAGACGGTTGGTGGACTCACCCACATCGCAAGATGGCTGCCGAGCCTGCCACACAACACAGGCAGGCGCTGGAGATGGCGATCAATGTCTTCTGCACACAAGTCTGGGCGATCCTACCCGAGAGCAACATACTGATCAAGTGGGCCAGATCAAAACGCAGCAATCTGGTGCTGAGGCCCATTAATTGGATGACGCAGCTCCCATTTCCAGCGAGCCGCTGGCTGAAGTAACCCCCACAACTGGGGTATACCTCTTCCTCTGCCGACCTCTGCCAACTTACCACCAGGGGAGAATCTGCTCCAGCATGAACTGGGCTGATAACCCTCTACCGCAGCATCAAGCGACGATCTACACCCGGAGTAGACTTGCACCTGACACGCTCTGCCTCAAGCTGGCAGTACAAAAACGGCAAAATGGCTCACATTGAGGAGACAGATCCGAGTCTGCACCTTGGGACTGTGGTGGGGGTGAGATCCATACCTGACACCTGGGAGTGTATCCTAACAGATCTTTAACGTGGCCCATATTTTCCCTCCAGCTATTACCCTGTCTCAGGCTGAATGTGGGTTCAGGGGTCTATCCTTCATATGGCATGCTGTTAACAGTTTCTATGTTTCTATAAGTTTTTTTTTTTTCTATGCCAAATTGTTCAACCTGTTTTATTTGCCTTTTTTATCCTATTATGCCCTACAACTAACCATGTCTAACAGCTCTCTATAAGTAATGCTCAGATCTTAGACATGACTTTCTAGCATATTTCAATATAAAAAAAAATGTGCCGTCTATCTAAATGTCACTGTTCCAAAAGCCTGTTTTATCTATATGTGTGAACGCTGTTGTGTCTTACCAAGCTTTCTGTTATCAATTGCACACCATAAATAAAGAATAATAAATAAAAAAAAGTACCTGCATTTATTTTGGCCATATTGGATAACAGAGTAACCTTTTTCAGAACATTACCTAGGGTACGATAGAGAGATAGGAGCTTTTTTTTAATCTAGGGAGAAAATTCTCTAAACTAATGAAAAGAGTTCTTGAGTTTTTTATACTTAATATGAAAAGTTCTGGAACTGTTTATTGTTGAAGTAAATGAGAGCTATAACATTGTTCTACAGGTATATTTCCTTTAATGTAGTGGAGTATCTCCATCTATTATTCCTTATGATGAGATAGCCAAAGAATGTTGTGCCTTTGTTTAATGTGTTCACTTGTGCCCTTTACTCCACATCACTAGTTGTAGTAAAAGGTACCTCTATTTTTCTCTAGTGAACAGTAGTTCCCCTGTGTTCATTCTATTTGATGAAATATGATACTTGTATTAAAGCATTAAAATCTTTTCTTCTGTGACAGCATCTATCTTTCATTCACTATTATAAAACCATAGTAGATTATTTATATTGTTAAATGTAGGGATCTCAGAGAACCCTTGATCCCAATGAGTAGGATAATTTTGGAATAATGTCCAATGCATTAAGTTGTCAATAAACAATATTCATTTATGTATAAGTAGAAATTATAACAATAAAAACATTCTGCATTTGGAATAAATATTTAAACATATATATTGTTTTTGTTAATAAATACACAGTTGAATCAGAGAGCTTGGATTTTATATAAATATTAGTATACACATTTCAATGTAATGTTTTTTAGTAATAATGAATTATGTATGTCTGTGGGGTAGTTCCGTGAATAATTTCATGCAAAGTACCTAGAAAACCAGAATCCTTTATCCGTAGCATTGAAGAGTAGTGTGGACAACTGCCCTCAGGGGGCACTTAAAAAAACAAAAACATGCATTTTATTTTGTTTGACTAAAAAAGTTGTGCAAACCAAAAAGGTATATTGATGACAAAATGTCTTAGCACAGAATAGCACAAAAATTGAAAATACCAAAAAGTTGTAACCAGTTTAAAATGATAGCAGAGCTCATTTCATATAGAGTATAATACAGATTAAGTAACAGCACACACAAAAATATTTTTTCACATTTTATAAGGAATATTAAAATCACCTAACAAATATGTGGATTCAGTTCCACCATATTGTCATATTGTGTTAAGCCAATGTTGGGAATAATACACTTTGCATATATTGACCCAAGGCTCAAGCTACAGATGACCGGATGTTCAGTCTGTTTAAAATTGGCTAACTTGGAGCATGTCAGCTATTTGAAATAATATACTTTATCTATATACAATGCTTAGAGAATAGAGCCCTAGACAAGAGCTATAGTAAATTGTGTAAATGGTGTTATATCCTGTGTGTTTCTGCTGTTGGCCTTATCTCCTGCGTTTCTCCCTTTGATTATAACTGCTTAGTAATGTGTAATTTAGAACTGCGTAGTTAATATCTTTAATACTAAGTGCGTATTAATTCTAAGTGTGTAGTTATATGGAAACTTAGCTTTGTTCAAGGCCTGAACATGAAGATACACCTGCAAGCTTGCTATAGGTTAAGATGTTAAGATAAGATAGATGCTTTTATTAGGATTGGATAATGCTTGAAAAGACTACCCCTGTTTCCTGCTGAATATAACCTGTTACACAGTCCATTAAAGTGATAGTGCTTTGATGTATATGCTCACAATGCATATAATATATCTGCTCTATGATCATGATAATAAAAGTGACAATACTATCCAAAACCTCCTCAAATATATACCTTTCTGTGGTCACCTCCAAAGTGGTCTGTGAAATTGGGGGGGCTGAGCACTCCGCTCATCCCAAAAGGAATTGGTCTGGATTCCAAACTTACATAGGAAAGACAAAAAAGGGGGAGCACATCCAAAACATGCATTTTGCAAGAATGGTGCTGTCGTAGTGAACAAAATGTATAGATAATACAGATTAAGGAACAGCATACACATAAAAATGCAATTTCACATTTTATAAGGCTAGTTAAAATCACCTATCTTGGCAAACAAATATGGGGATTCAGTTCCACCATATGGCCATACATTTCATATGAAGTATAGCAGGGATTGGATGGCATTTTATTGTTCATAGTTTTGTTATTGCTTGGAGCACTTATAATGCATTGAATGGTAGGATTAATCAAGGACCATAAAAATGCATATTGATAAGAGATAAAAGAACATTTGAGTCTCTGCTGTTACTTTTGTCATAGAAACTCAATGAAAATACAATAGCTATTATAGGTTTATTGAGACAAGAGGAACAAAATGTACCTTTGGTGTGAATGTTCTAGGAAATAAAAAGGAAGATCCATTGTAATACTTCAAAAGAATGTCATCACTATTTTGTATAATCAAAGTAATCTTTAAACTTAGCCTTACAAGTATAGTGAGTGACTGGAATTTACATTCCAGTTTATATAATTGTATGATTTGATTGTTGAATTCTTTAAATCATATTCTTCATATCCACTCTACTTTCAGATCTAATGCCAACTCAAATGTCGTTTTAATTTTAAGACCAAAAGTTGGTTACACTTTGTACCAGAAGGATACTGACCTCAATAGTTTTCTCAAAGTGTGCAGCTTTCATCTCAGAAATAAAGCATTGTGCATTTCACGAATCATGTGAGTAGTATTTAACAACTATGATCCAGCACATGGGGGAAGTATAGATTTTACAAATGTGATACAAATTCTAGAACAAGATTATAAGAAAAGTACATTGGATCAAACATTGAGATGTGCATGTAAGAGATTGGCTCATAAATATGTAACAGAATGAATCTAAGGACAGGATGTTTACAAAGATCTTTAACCCCTTAAGGACACATGACATGTGTGACATGTCATGATTCCATTTAATTCCAGATGTTTGGTCTTTAAGGGGTTAATAAAGCCTCTAGGGAAGAAAATACATTAAATATAAGACAAAAGTATTCTCAGTTATGTAGCCCATCCTTGATTTTGGCATAAAAATGCAATCCTAATTTGAACACCTGTCTAAAGAATGATTTGTGAGGCAAATATAAGAAATACCCACCTGTTTTGATGTCTTAGGTGTGTGACATGTAGTCACATGATAATGGGCAAAATCGTTAACCAGTCACATTCAAATAAAGTTTATACATCAAGAGACATGTCATATACAACATCATGTGTCCATGTGGACTGTTCTACTGGATTGTAAAGATATTTGAATACAGATGAATAATTACAAATCATATAAATCCGTAACAAAGTATTTATTGGCCTTAGGGTAATTAATTACCTCTTGTCATGTTCATGGCTACTGAACATATTGAAATTCGATAGAGTAATGGGGAATTAAGCATTGAGCACCTTTATTAACTTTTTAACTAGACACAGACCCTCCGGGCTGACAGGATTTGTTGTTCCTCAAACCTTGTAGATAAGTGGTCTCACATGATTTTTTAAAACTAGGACCTATGATTGG